ACACGGACTGAATGAACTAATCACTTAAACAGACTTTAACAGTCCACTGCTGGACATAAGCCTCTCCTTGGAAAGGAGGTTTAGGCCTACTATACCACGCCAGACGAACTAATGCCTCAATATAAATAATACATTCACTCACGATATCGCCGAAAAAATAGGCGGAGGTGCATTAATAGTTTACATTTTCCTAACTATAATTTGAGAAACACTTTCCTAATAGGGAACTTATTGGCGATAATCGGGTACTTTAAAGAACGGATGGGAAAATTAGAAGGATATTAATAAAAAAATGGTAACAATAGTTGGAAATACCAGAATCTAACATCAAACAAACGTTGCAGGAACGCAGAATCTCTTAAAAGCTGAAAAAGATAAGCAAGGAAAGTATTTGGATTTGGCCCACGAGATTATCGACATGTGGGATTTTGATTCGGTAATCATTGTACCGATAGTCATATCGGCCCATGGATTAATTACTAAGAGCCTTTATTAACTGATGCAGAAAGCCGTTCTTCTCGATCCGGCACGTATTGTGAGGAGGTTTCTGTCTCTGGAATCCTAACTACCGATATCTTGGTACATGTACCAGATACCAAAATTGAGCTGAAAAATAATAATAATAATAATATTTATTTAAATGAAAAGATGGTTAGATTTAGATAAAAGTTTAAAAATAAAATTAATATATGTTAGAGTAAGTAAAGTAAGTTTAGTTCCTTTAATGTCACTAGATGGCGCTGTATTAAAAAGGACCCAAATTAAAACTCGATGTTAAGAGTCTCCGCAGGTGATTGACTAGGGGAATTGTTTTTGGTTATGTAGAATCTACAAGATCTACATTGTAGATCTTAAGTTTAGAGGTAACTTGATCCAAATAAACTTCAGGATTATCCTATTAGGTTTCTTATTGAGTACCCTGAAGGAATAATTCCCGCCTCGACCCTCCCGACCTCGACCACATACACATATGTATATAACAATATAAACAATATGTATATAAAATAAATAAAGAGAATAATAAAATTTCTGGACACAACGTAAATCTAGTTTCAAACTAAGCAAAACTTAGTAACTAACTTAACTTCTATCTATCTATCTATCTAACTTGTACTATGAGGGCTAGATTGACTGATAAAATACTTATATACTTTTTTTGTAAATACATACATATTATACATAAGGAAATTTAAAATCCATAAATAATATACCATTAAATCCTCATATATATTTTTTGGATTTTCAAAAGATAGTTAATAGCTCGGTCAGGGTCGCAAATCTGTAACTAGAATTTTGTATTCCTGTAATTAATAAGGTAAATTAGACAATCCGTTTAAACTTACCTAATACTAAAAAAAATAACAATTTGTTTCAAACTGTTTCAACGTTATTCGAGATATATTTCAAATTACTAATTTTTTTATTAATATATTTTTTTATTTAATTTACCTTTTCATTTTTGGATCTGATATTTTGTAGATAGACCAAACAATTCAAACAACAAGTAAGTATTTTGTAGATTCTCACAAAAGCAGGCCATGCCATTACTGTAGATAGGAGTAGAATATTTTTCGGATAAAATCCAAAGCCAAACACCTTAGACAGGATAGCACGTAGACGAAACATATAACAGTATTCATAAATAGAACGGGTAATACCACAGACGATTCTCAGAAGCTATATCGATAGAATCAGTTATGCAGCCAGGATTCCCCCGCTAAATCCCCTTAAACGAAATAGCCAGTCACGTTCTAGACAACAGATAATAGTTTCTACATGAATATGTAATAGACTACGCTGGATAGCCTCGATAGCTTTCGTAAAAAGTTATTATGGTTGGTCGAACTGTTGATAATATTATAGGAAATTTGTGGAAATAAAAAAGTATTTGTATTTAAAAATAGGGTATCTCCAACTTGCCTGTCCCGATAGCAATAATAAGAGTGATTGTAGGAATGGACTGCCGGCTGTACAAGCCTATAAGTATTCCAAGTTGTCTGGGTTTAAAAACTGTATTGTGACTAATACTCGTGGCCTCGTGAACACTTGAGCCTATTTTATATTTAATACTGTTATTATCAAATTAAATTAAACGCTTCAATAAGTCACTTATTTCTTAAAAGATACCTCTACTATCCCCAAAAATTGCTTTTATATTTCTAAATTAATTTGATTTATGGAATCAACTGACTTGCTTTATTTTTACTCAAATTACACCTGCAAGGGAGGACAGACGAGCAATTAATCTAAATTAGAGTGATTATTTAACCCTTACCAGTTATTATTCAAAACGAGCCTGCATCAATTCTACTTCGTTGCTTTTTATTTGAAACGGGAAATGGTATATTATTTATATTTTATTTACATTTTTGTGGGAATAAAATTAAATAGATCTATCGTTTTTTACCTCGTATAAATAAATTGATTACACGTTCTTTAGAACTTCGTTAGAAAATATGTTAAGTACACTCGTCTTCTTCTAAAATCATCTTCATCAATTATTCACAACGTCAGTCTTTAAAACTTTTCTTTTTAATATTTACCAGTAATAGTTTGTTAGTAATAGTTAGATTGCTTCTCGTCATCATCAACAGCTTATAATAGTCCACTGCTGGACATAGGCCTCTCCTTGGAAAGGCGGTTTTGGCCTACTATGCCACGCTGGCCAGACGGGTTTGTGTAAAGTTTTCCTTCTCTTTGCAGTGCTGTTGTCCTGCGTAGTTTGCACTGACCTGACCTAATAACTTTTATTGGAACTAAATATTGCATGAAAGTGCTAACGTTATAGGTTACGCTACATAATGCTACATAATATATTTGTAAATTGTGTATTTTATAAAGTGTAGTGTGTGTAGTGTTTTGTGGTATAGTAGGCCAAAACCTCCTTTCTAAGGAGAGGCCTATGTCCAGCAGGCGACTGATAAAGGCTGTTGATGTGATGTGAAACAGATGTTGGAAAACGTAATAAATAAAATAAAATAAAATATTAACAAAATAAAATCGGTAGCTGGACGACCGAACATTACGTTTTTTTTTTTGTAAAATCGAGTTTTTAAGGAATTTTCCTAATTTATCTATAAATTTTAAATGCAAAATCTTTTATAAATACAAATTTAATCTAAATCATTACAGCCATTTTACACACATAATATGAATATATTTATGTAATACAAATATAATAAGATTAAGTAAACGATAACAAATAAAACTGTTAAACGTCACTTCATACGAGTATTATAATGCAGTTTTATTTGAACCTTCAAATACATTATTCTTCGAATGGAGTACTGTAAAGAAGAAAGCGGTCTCCACTATCCTTCATTATAATAGGGTTCCGTACCTCAAAAGTTAATAAAGGAACCGTTATAAGATCACTCTCTTGTCCATCTGTCCATCTGAAATCGTCTTTACTCTCTTACCCTTATCCAGCCAAATATAGCTTGTTAACAACATAAAGTATGTAGTGTCGCGAATGAACAAAATTAACGTACTTATAATATTCAACAACAATAATTATTCTGCTCCAAACCAATAATTTTGTGTAAAGGCGAGTTGACACCGACAATTATTGAATAAACTGTGGCACAACTTTCGAAAAGCTATTTTAACTTTGTCGTGAGTGGGTAGTAACAAATATTACGTTCATCAATTTATTGTGGAAAGTTTATCAAATTTTCTTGTCAAGATTTTTAAGTGATGAGATGATTAATCGTTCTGTTTATCAAGAAAACAAGTCATTTCGAATAAGATTACAAGACATTTCAGAACATTCCCAATAAGTTTTAGAATAAACATAACATAGTTAACATTTTGTGAGGCAACCGTTATGTATTACAGTGGTGTGTTGCATATTACACAATAGTAGTGAGGTACTAAATATACGTATCTGTCGGGGTATCAGGGATTTCCTTACCACACCTGTACAGGTGTACAGGTGTGGTAAGGAAATCGGTGCGTGGTAAGGAAAATGGTAAACCAGGTGGTTTACCATCTACTGGTACCCGAGACGGCATCGGCGTGCGGTTTTTAGCCGGTTCGAGGCCGACATACCCATCGATGGATGTTATCCGAGAGGAATTCCGCTCAAAAAAAGGGTACTAAATAATATATCCGAGTATACCTATTGTCTTTACAAATTTGCACACTAATACAAAAATGAGTTATAATTTGACTTACACACTCGACGGTTTGAGTTTCCTGCTTTGCAAATGCAGTTGTTAAAAAATATATTTTCTACTAATCAAATAACCAACACAGTGATCAAATAGACGAGTGTCCACTATGTGTGTGATTTTTGTGTTTTAACCCATTTAAAGGTTAAAGTATTCCCCTTCATAGATTATTCACAAGAGACTGTTAGGAGCAACCTGATTTTAAATATATATAAGTGTCAACAATAAAATCAAAACTCACACCTTGCCATTCTTATCCTTGTCACTTATCCAAAGATTCTTTGATTAGGTATATTAGAGGACTTTTGTAGTTTATTTTTATACCTAATCGGCTCAAAGTAACAGTTTAGCAATTTCAAATCTGTTAAAAATGCCCCTTCTATCTGTTATCTTTCCAATTTAAATTTAGAGATAAATAAAGTGGGTGCCATATATAAATCACAGTAATCGTCAACAATAACAGACCAAACAGTGAAAACAATGTTAATCATCTATTGTTCCTGTTTCTAAACAGACAAACCAAACTAAATGGACCTAGCGCCGGATATCATAATGTTTTGTTAGTTAAACATCATTTGGTAACGAGTGAACACATTAAGTGTCAGAAGACGGGTCATTTTAGCAAATGTATAAGGTTAATGCGAAGTGAAGTTCTTATTGTGTGGACGGTACCGCATTATCGTAGCGAGAGGTTATCGTTCATTCAACGACCATCAGTCACATACGCTGTACAGTATTTGTGCAACTATGTAAAATAAAATCATCATGCGTTTGGTATTCTTGTTATTTGTAGTCTTGTGTTTGTTGTGCGTGTGTGTGTCCTTCGATATGATCGTTGGTGATACCGTTCATAGGAAGATGGTCTTCCACCAAAGGGTGAAAGACTTCGCGATACCATTCAAGAAGAGAATAAAAAGTTTAACATATACAGATCCGGAAAATAGGAAAATAAAAGTAAGTTACATTGTATTTACTACTTTGTTTTATACTTTTTTTTTTGTTTATGGTTGCATGGCATGAGTGGTTCAAAATAAACGTGATTCATCCTAGTGTATATTTGGGTTGAGCTGAATTACTTAGTTTGTAAACTAAACACGAACAATCAAATCATAAATCAAGTTCTACATGTTTTACATTTCTCGAACGTGTTCAAAGTAGAAATATTTTTATACTTAAATGTACTTTGACCAGCCAACGTCACAGTGGTTTACCTTACAACTGATTTATTCAAGAACAATGTTCATAATACTTTTGCATTTTGTTTAAATTACGTACATACATCCGTGCTTATAACTATTATATGTAGGTATGTATGTCACAATAATTTTGCTAACGAAATATGTAAATATTTGTATTGAAATATCATTGGTTACATAATTATTATTTATTATTCAATACAGTAGCTATCTTGATTTAACTACGATGTTAAGGTTGATTTGTTTATTTTTTACATTTGCAGAATTTACATGAAATACAATAAAAAGTTTTGTATAGGTACATAATGTAATAAAAAATTTTTGACATTAACACATTGATTAATATTTTGTCTGACATTAATATCATAATAATAATTAAGATAAAAGATAAATAACAAAATTGGAAAATATTTATATCTACGAATTACTCGGTGATTTTTCGTTGTCCTTCCGGGTCATTGTTAGCAACACAAATAAAATAAAACGGTTTAAAACGAAAAACTAAAAATATTTACTTCTTTACACAATATTTAATATTGTGTAAAGTACCTTGTTTAGTATTTTAGCTCGTATGACAATTCTCCACAACGAATTATTTGATATGAGAACATAACACAAAAACAACAGATTTAAGAGAACGAATCATCATCAACAGCCTTTAACAGTCCACTGCTGGACATAGGCCTCTCCTTAGAAAGGAGGTTTTGGCCTACTATGCCACGCTGGCCAGGTGGGTTGGTTTAGGGTTTGTTTCAAGTTTTCCTTGTCTTTGCAGTTTGCTCCCTGAGTCGTCCCATGGGATGAACAGGGGTGGTGACACTCCGTGTTCTTAATCCGTCACACCAGATGGAACGAATATTCTCTCTAATTTTTATACACCGGATGGCGTGGTGGTTTGTGTAACGGACTGCTATTCCAAAGGTCGCGGGTTCGATTCCCGCTCAAGTCAAACGTTTGTGTGCATGAACATTTAATGTTTGATTTGGTCTGGGTGTTTCTATGTATAATATGTATGGATTTACTTACAAAAAAAAAAGTATTTATTTATTTATATCAGTAATCTAGTACCCATAGTACAAGCTCTGCTTAGTTTGGGACTAGATGGCGTTGTGTGAATGTGGTAAAAAAAATACAAGTTATTTCTAATAAAAGACCGTCTAGGTGAAGGTAAAGGTAAGGTAAACTCGGCCGTAGCAACTACACCTGGACCTGGACAGGTCCAGGTGTAGTTGCTACGGCCGAGTTTTTGATACGCGGTAACGTCCTTGACGTCGCGGGCTCGGCAAATATTTGTTTATGTTGTATAATTGTGTCTTGGTATTCTGATGTGAAATTTTCATGTAAGAATAAATTTAATTTTTAAACTCAGGTATCGTATAAGTTGGCTATAATTTAATTGATTTTTATTGTTTTTTTTATTTTACATATTAATATTTTTTTATCGTCGCATAGATAATTAATCATTGTGCAGTATACCTATACTGCACAAAAGAAATGAATCAAACATACCTATGTTTGATTCATTTCTACAAATTAATAGAACATATTTGTTTACTCTATTTTACGAATGTGTTAAAGATTTGATTTTCATTTCATTTGCTTCGAGTATTAACTGCAGTACCGCACACAATAGTGTCATTCACTCCAATAACATACATAGCTTGGAATAACCATCGTCGAAGAACTGTCAGCATAAAAGATCTAACTGTGAAATCATAAACTTCAACAAGTCAACAACAAACGTAGACATAGGCCTCTCCCATTGCACGCCACTTAGATAGACACTTAACTCTAAACAATAATTATGACATTAAAAAACTAACATTTTAAACAAATAACACGCTTGAAATATAACAATGATTCTTACATATTCAAATATAAGAGTTATATAAATGTAGGTAACATCGTTTATTTTGCATTCCACTTCGACTATAATTGTACATAACACCTTCCATATACAAAGAAAACTTCATCGAAGATCTTAGAGGAGAAATACTTAAAATACCAACCAACATTTACAACGGCTATTATACCACATATATCTTATACATATTTGTACAAGTCATATAAAAGATCATTGTTACCAATAACAAGATTATAAGTTCAGTTACCATTACAATATTAGAAAAATGATAAATGTGCATTGCATAGATGGTTAGCATTTTTCTAAGATATTTTTTTCTATTCGTGATATAAGCGTCACATAGTTGCTGTTTAAACATTTTGTAAGACAAAATCAGTATAATTTGAAAATAGCGTATGACTCATCAATCAATCTATTAATATTTCTACCTAAGTTATTCTTTGTCCACTTTAATTTTATGTCTCAAATACACATTCAATAATTTTACGTTAAGGTTTTTTTTAACTTGATCAATCTAGTTAAAAAAAAAGATGTTCTTTTGTCACAACGTTTACAGATGTTTACGTTTTAGTTGGTTTCTCTTTATTACTGTAAGACCCCCGAGGTGAATGAGTACAAAAGCATACAACGAATCTGACGAAAAGTAGTTGGACCATTAGCAGAGTAAATAATTTTAAACAGCATCGGATGTCGAGAACTTACTGCACTTTCTATGTTGTTTTATTCTGACAGTGCATTAACTATTTTTTTCCCTTATGAGTTTTATTGATTTACAATACTATCAGTCTTAAAATACGACTGTAAAATAAGATGCCGCCAACTCTGGAGTTCTCACTGCCGCTTTAATATGCGATTTAGTGGCTAATCTTTTACTTACGTCTTATAATTGAGTAGCATTTAAGAGTTCGGCCTTAAGTTATGTTAATGTAATGTAAATGTTCGTGTCTTAATGATAAAACCACATTCTTTAGGATAGGTAAACTAAGTATTGCGATAATTATACCACATTAGACGATTAAAAAAACATAAAACCACTTTACTGGTATTTTTAAATGCTCAAAAATAGTAGTTTTAAAATAGTTGAAGGTATATCCCGAAACCGTATACAATATTCTTCTTAAGTTAAGATGAAATGCAATGGTAGAATGCAAATATCGTTTTACAATTAACTTTAAATAAATATAACCTTCAAGTAGTTTTAAATTGTACTTTTCATCTTCGCCAACGTGAATTATATCAGATCAGATGTTTACATAAAATGCTTTCTAAATTAATAGAAAGCACCTTATCTTACATAATAGTTTACAAATTATGCATTATATTATAACATATAACAGCTAGAAAGCCTACGTGTGCAACTGATAGTAAAAATGATTAATCAAACTAAAAAAGTAATGTTTTATTTTTCAGGGAGTAGCAGTAATAGACAATGACTTTTCTCACGCAAGCGCAAACATCACCGCTGGTGGTGTAGGGCAGTCTTACGTGACAGTGAGAATGAAGAGTCAAAGGCACCACCCATTGAACTTTGAAGTGGAGATTTATGTTTAAGCAAACTTCGAGAAAACCTTATAGTGAACTTTGGACAATATCTGAAGGTTGTGATACCCGACGATAACTATATCCACAGCTATTAGTGTATATATTGTGACAACCAGACAGAACACTCTTCCAAGTTTGTTGGAAGTCTTAAGAGTTATATTAACATCAGACTTGGTGATAAACATGGACACCATTGAAATGCATAATAGTGGAAGTTGATGTTTATGAAAATGTAATATTAAAATTTAAAAGTGAAGTAAAATCATTTCAAAAATATATGATATGACCTTTTTATCACACGTTTACTGCAAATTATCGCCAAGCTCCTATTTTTAGATATATTTATTGCATATTGTCATTAAGAATTATAGTTCAGCATCAAGTTGCATATTGCATTTGTATATATTTGTTGTAAGATAGTTTAACTCAGCTGCATCATGTATTAAATGTAAACATATTGAGTGTTATATAATAGGGATTCTCTATTTAAATGGATTTTCATTATTACATTAGAAAATATATAAATATGCATAAAACTTGTCCATAAGCTTACGTTCTAAAAATAAAGATCTGATTCTATTGTAATTATAGATATTAAATTTTATAGATTCGAATTGTAAAATATTAGCGACTGTATTTTCACCACCGGCATGACAGCCACAGAGTCTATTGCCTATCATAGAATTTTATTAAACAAAGAAACATAGGATGAAATTTTAGGCAACAATTTGGTATTACAAAATAACTGTGAAAGAAGAGGTCCTTGTGTAACAATCACATTTAGGGAAGCCCAACCTTCGTGAGTTCGTACTTTGACCGGATTATCAGCCAACCAATTGTGACATCCTTGTAACAATTGATTCGCTGATCCTCAGGTCAAAGTGACAAGATCTGTCGAACGTAGGCGTCCCACAGTCGCTTTTATTAAAAGACTTTAGGGTAGTCCTACAGAATTGTATGTATAAATATACTTAGTTAATTTACAGATTATATTTTGTTATTATTTCAAATTTAAAACCTATAATTCTCAAACTATGTTATTTTGTTTATAACATACAACACTAAACTCGAAAAGTAGGGTATATTTTTTAAAATTATATTTTTAAATTTAGATGTATAAATTAAGAGAAAGACTAAATACATTGGAGATAAAATTCTCGATAAATTAAGTCGTTTCAAATAAGTGCAAACATTCACAGACATTTCACTAAATTCTTGTAATTACCCAATGTGTTACTAGATAAGGGACGTCAAAAGGACAAGGGAACCCCTTTGTGCATGACTAAGCGCCTAGACGGCTCCACTAATGACATTATTAAAACCGACAGTGACGTTATTGTAACGTTTGTAGGTTACTCCACTTTGTTACTGTGTGGTATGATAAATGACTAATGGCTCGCTTGCGTCATTCTTATAATTATTATACAATTGTCCTTAAGAATTTATTTTTAGTTGAAATAATCCATAGATGGTTTTTGTGTTTTTACAAAACAATTTACAGAAAAGTTGAGAATCATTTTTGCCTTACAGTGTCTTTTTACCAGCAGAATACTATTTTTTCTTTCATTTTGAATGAAAATCATAAATGTACTAAATAGTTTTGCAAATATTAGATTATTCTTAGTAACCTTAAAATTACACACTGCGTACAAAGAACATCAAATAGTCATAAAGTTCGAATTAACTTTGACAAGGTCCCTGACCACGCAAACACATTAAAAATTACAGTACATAATGTTAGTATGCCTACTATACCAAGAAGTCCCAATCAAATACATTTTCAAACAAAAATATCTTCATTAAAATGGGTCCTCATCATTCACCCATTTAAATTTTAAGATATTTTTGTTTCGCATCGTATCGTATTCGTATCGTAACTACAATGCCTTAAACAGAGGCTTTTAGATACACAGTTTTTGCGCCGGGAGTAGAAAATGAGATTTATTTACTTAAGAACATGGTAAATTATCAAACTTTTAACAGCAAAAGTCGGTTTAAAGAAAACAACGTTTGAAAGGCTACAGGGGCCAAGTATGTGTGTTGACAGACCAGGTTACACTGGTCATGGTTTAAAACCAAATATGAATATTTAACTTAATGAGTTAATGACTGACGGTCGATATTAAAGGACAACGCTATCTCGTTTTTATAAACAGGTTTCTGACTTTAATATTCTTTTAGAGTAACTTGGTATAATTTAATAATTTCAAAAGTAGCTCGTGAGCGTGTGAAGTTCCGAGATAATAATTAAACTGCACACACAAACCTTCGCACCAATTTTTAAACGTAGCTTGACTGAGGAGTTTATTGTGATGAAATAAAATTGATATCCAAAATCAGTTTTAGGTAGTTTATTAATTATAAATATGTATATAAGAGAACTATTTTTCAAATCTAGCTTATTCGTAAAATCTAGTTATCTTTTTTGTCTCAATTATAAAAAAGTGAATCCTTCGACTCCAAAATATTTATATTTTCTTGTCTAATTCTTTTGTTGCACTAACAGATTAATTCTCTTCGATTTTTTGTACATTATGTTCGTTTCTTATGTATTTTGCTTATTTCTGTAACCTTTTTTATATTTCTGTAATCTTTCAGTGATTTTCCTCGTATTTAAGGGATTCCTATTATATAAAGATTTCCTTTCTATATAAGGTAATCTATCACTTTTAGTAGGTAAAAGTGCGTCAACAAAACTTCAGTTAACGCAATTTTACCTACTAAAACCACTTCTTCCACCTTCTTATATACAAACTATTAAGATCAGAGAGTTTTAAGGAGAGGAGAGTTTTAAGGATGTAAAAATGTAATATCAAAGAGAAAATTCGTATTTGCAAGTTAAATTATATGGAACATTTAAACTATTTACAAATTGTAGTGTACCTAACATATGGCCTTTAAAATGTTTTAATTTTTTCATTAATATAAGACATATATATATATATATATATATATAAAAAAGACTAAAGTAATGCCATTATCAACAACAATCAACACCTTATTATACTGTAAAATATACGAAGTTATCCAAAAAGTTTCATCAACTACCTATGTATTTATACCATTGAATCTCTTGTAATACCTACACGCTTTGAAGTGAAACGAAAGACGGGCAGCAAATGTTTGATAAAGAATAAGTTGTTAAGAATCCACCTTCATCATCGACATCATGCTTTTATAATATACATTGACTTAGAATCATTATCATAGACTGTGTTTGAATAAAACATAGTTTATGAAAGAAAATCCAGATCGATTTATGTTGAATACAATATAAATCGATCTGGATAATATGCCTGTACCATAGAATTCTACAAACGCAAATTAGTTTAAAGTTTGTAATGCAAAGACAAATAAATATTTATATTCTTAATCTGTGTAGTTTACTTTTGCAGTCACTGATAGTAGGTACCGACACGACATTACAGAAAAAAACATCTTGAAAAACCTTCAAGATTTAAAGATATTACATTATTTATCTTTTGTACTTTATTAAATAAAAGTACTGGCTCTCCTGACAAATAAAGTTCAAAACCAAATAACATACATATTCAATTTGCAATGCACGGCTCACCGATCTACGAAATTTGATTACCATTATTAACCGTCCAGCACGTTCACTAACACATATGAGTACATATATATTTCATACACTGTCATACTACATACATCTCATACAGTATTTCCATCACGCACTTTCCGCTCAGATTTTCGTTGATGTTAATTTCACGCCCGTCAATCCAGAAATACAGTGTCGTATATTGGAAAGCAGAAATTTGGTTTATAATGTGGATTATTCTCACTCGCTCTAGCTGAAATTTAATTTAAACGCATATTATATTCTCTGCGTCCGTCACTTCTAATATTATTATTGTTGATTTTTATTCGTATGAAAATGAAAAACACTGCTTCGTTGTTTACGATGTATTATGCTACCACTGACGTAGAATAGGATCCTGATATATTGATGATTAAGAAAAAAAAAAAACAATACTAATTAACAGTAGGTATGTAATATTTTAACCGAACTGTTTTTAGTTTTAATATTTATTGACGTGTACAGTGGTGTGTGAAAAAAACATTTTTAAGGTATTGCGGCACTGATACGTTATTTGAAAGGTAAGACAAAAATAGTAGCACTTGTGACTTTAAAAAAAAAGTAAATGTACAACATCTGTAGACAGTTGTCAACCCTGCCAATGACAATAAATCTAAATTGTTCAAAAATTGTAAATATATATGTGTATTATATATTGGCCATATTTATATAACACTGAATTTATTGAACATGTTTTAGCATTGAATACTGATAATCTATTTAATATTAAGCGAGGATCACATGTAATGTAATGCAAAGGATCACAGGTAATGAGCCCGAGAACTATCATGGCGCAATGTAGGTTTTGCAGTTTTTACGTAGCATTTATCGGCTTAATATGATATAAATACCTCTATTACACAAAGTTTTATTTGCAGTTGCAATAAATCTTTTCTTTGCGATATTAAAACGTGCAAGACTAAGGACATTTGTCAGATTTGTTACCAGGAGTCGCAGAAGTTTCAATGAAAGTGAGATTAGTACATTAGATATTTCAGAAAATTGTTACAAGCACTAATTAATATACTCGTAAACAATCTTTGAACAACCAATGAATGACATTTTAAGTAATATCACTAAAGTTTATAACCGACTAAAAACAGGAGGGATTATTTTTGTTACTTCAGAACTGTGTCATCTATTAACTGATTTGAAACATATATATGGAACATATATAGATTGTATTTCCCCTTTGGTCCCACTTAAATTTTAAGAAAAAATATCCCTCCTACTAGTTTAAAATTAAAGAATGAAGAATAAAATTGGCCACAATAAAAAAACTGTGCTGTTTAACTAACTGCGGTGTTCCATGGGGGTTGTTAAGAATCCACCTACTTTCGCTAGAAAAAAGTACAAAAAAATGAAGCAACGAAAATACTAGTAACCTTAATAAAAATAGAATGAGTTGTAA